CACCCATTTTGAATAATATTGCATGAGTTCCTTGTTTTTTTAATGCAGTATAGTATTCCATTGTGTGACTATACCACAGCTTCTCTATCCATTCATTTGTTGATAGGCATTTGTTTCCAACTCCTAGCTATTGTGAACAAAGCAGCGATGAACATGGGTATGCATATATCTGCTTGGATGTCATTTATGGTCTCTTTAGGGTATATTCCCAGTAGTGGAAACTGCTGCGTCAAATGGTATCTCTATTTGCAACTTTTTGAGAAAGCGCCACACCACTTTCCAAAATGGTTGCACCATTTTACACTCCCAAAAAAAGAGAATATTAAAAGCAACTACATAGGGAGCTCTGGTGTCTAGTGGCAAAAAGCTGCACTGCAATCTCAGAGGCACACAGTTAGAATACACTAGATGCTTTTGCTGGAGAAGGAAGGGCAATCTCCTCCTGTACCAGTCAGATCTGATTTGATGTACACACACACCCCAACTACATAGTAGACAAATGGGATAATATTTGCTCTCATTTGCAAGTTAAGGATACGAAAATTAAAAAGAATTCTATTATAAAATGTTTTAAGTCCCAAGGTAGCTTCTTGGAGCTTTCATCACTACTAGCTCACATAAGACCCTTAGCGACAAAAAGGTCTTTTGCACCCAATAATTGTAAACTAAGCTGTTCAGACTCATTTCCCACTGATGACCACTGGAAAACCTGGACCTAAAAAAAATCTTAAAAAAAAATCTGCTTGAAAGTATCAAAGGCTTACCAAGAGAGTAAAGAGTTACTGGACTAGGATCCAAGGGATAATTGAGACTTTTCTTCTAGATGTGTTTGACTCCTAAGAGATGCTGCTGAGAGGAACGGGGACTAAAGGAATAGAAATTGGAGTCTAGTATCCATAGTCACAAGAAGATTGGGGGAGTCCTGGGATGGATCTCCTTTGTTTTGTATTGTGACCTAGTAGGAGTGAATGAGAATTATACAAACATTGAATTGCCATCCTTCAGTTCAGATAATCTTTTAAAATTGTTCCCATATTGCTAGTGCTCTTAATGAAAATCAGGTAAACATCTTCTCAGGAATAAGATTTGTGGAAAGAATCATTGGAGACACCCAAACAGTTGTGAAAACTAGGCAGGTGCTGACTGGAACAGACCATCAGCTACTCGTGTGCATGCTCAAATTGAAGCTAAAGAAAATTAAAACAAATCCACAAGAACCAAAATATGACCTCGAGTCTATCCCACTTGAAATTAAAAACCATCTCAAGAAAAAATGTGAGGCCTTGAAAACTAATGAATGATGACCAGATAAGCCTCAAATTGCAATACTTAAAGATGCTATGGGCAAAATGTTGAATGATTTAAGAAGCATTAAGAGAAGATAGAAGGAATACACAGTTACTGTATCAAAAAGAATTGGCCGACAGAGAACCATTTCAGGAAGTAGCATCTGATCCAGAAGCAATGGTAATAAAGGAAGAAACTGGCAAAAATTAAGTCCACAGGAACTGATAGAATATCAACTGACATATTTCAACAAACAGATGCAGTCCTAAATGTGCTCACCACGTTGTGCCAAGAAATCTGAAGGACCTAGCCAACTGACTGGAAGAGATCAATAATTATTCCTATTCCCAAAAATGGATCTTGGCAGAAAGCAAAGAATACCAGAAGAACGTCTATCTGTGTTTCATTGACTATGCAAAGGCTTTTGACTGTGTGGATCACAACAAGCTGTGGCTGATTCTGAGAAGAATGGGAATCCCAGAACATTTGATTGTGCTAATGCGAAACCTATACTTGGACCAAGAGGCAGTTGTCAAAACAGAGTAAGGAGACACTACATGGTTCAAAATCAAGAAGGGGGTTCATCAGGGATGTATTCTGTCTCCATCTGTATGTAGAACAGATCATCCGAGACACTGGGCTATACGAAGAGGAATGTGGCATCAGGATTGGTGGAAGAATCATCAACAACCTGCGTTATGCAGATGACACAACCGTGCTTGCTGAAACTGAGGAGGACCTGAAGCTCTTGCTGCAGAAGATCAAGGACTGCAGCCTCCTATATGGACTGAAGCTCAACATCAAGAAAACAAAGATTCTCACCACTGGGCCAATTGGCAGCATCAGTAACGATGGTGAAGAGATTGAGATAGTTAACAGGTTTAGTTTACTTAGCTCCACAATCAACACTCTTGGTAACAGCAGCCAGGAAATCAAGAGACGAATTGCATTGGGAAAGCTGGCTGTGAGGGTCTTCTCAAGAGTACTGAAGAGCAACGACGTCAGACTGGAGACTAAGGTGTGCCTGATCCAGGCTATAGTCTTCGCAATTACATGCTATACATCAGAGAGCTGGACAATGAATAAGGTTGATAGAAAGAGGATTGATGCCTTTGAGCTGTGGTGCTGGAGAAGAGTGTTGAATATACCATGGACTGCTAGGAGAACAAACAGGTTTGTCATGGAGAGGGTGAAGCCGGAAGGCTCTTTGGAGTCAAGGATTCTGAAGCTTCGTCTGACACATTTTGGGCATGTTGCTAGGAGGGACTGGTCCTTGGAACTGGTCCAAACATCATGTTTGGCAGAGTGCAGGGGTGGTGAAGGAGAGGAAGACTTTCAATGAGATGGATCGATTCTGTGACTGGAGCAGTGGGAATAAGTGCGTTTGAGATGGCTAGGTTGGCACAGGATAAAAGAGCGTTTAGAGCTCTTGTACATAGGGTCGCTATGAGTCGCAAGCGACTCGATGGCACATAACAACAGCAATTCCCAAAAAAAGTGATCCAACAGAATGTGGAAATTATTGAACAATGTCACTAATATCACATACAAGCAAAATCTTGCTGAAGACTATCCAAAATTGGCTAGAACAGTACATAGAGAACTGCCAGAAATACGAGCAGAGGTTAGAAGAGGTGTACTAGGGATATCATAGCTGATATCAGATGGATCTTGGCTGAAAGCAGAGTACTAGAAGGAAGTCTATCTGTGTTGTTTTGACTACACAAAGGTATTTTACTGTGTGTATCATAAGAAATTGTGGCTAACATTGAGAGGAATGGGAATCCCAGAAAACTTGATTGTGCTTAGGTGAAACCTATACCTAGATCACGAAGTTGTTATCTGAACAGAGCAAGGGAGCACTGCATGGTTCAAACTGAAGAAAGGAGTGCATCAGGGATATATCCTTTTCCCCTGTCTTTTCAGTCTATATGCTGAACAGATCATTCAGGAGGCTGGAAGAGAATTGTGGCATCAGGATTGGAGGAAGACTCATCAATAACTTGTGTTATACAGATGACACAACCCAAACTAAAAGGACTTGAAGCACTTGTCGCAGATTTAGTATGGATTGCATCTCAACCTCAAGAAAACAGTATGGTTGGATGGTTGGTTGGATGGATGGATGGATGGATGGATGGATGGATGGACGGATGGATGGATGGATGGAGAGATTGATAGATGATAGATAGATAGATAGATAGAGAATAGATAGATAGATAGATAGATAGATAGATAGATAGATAGATAGAGATACACTCCTGTTTTTATATACTTTAAAAAAATTTTCTTTCTAATTTTTTATTTCTCCTTTCTCCCTCATTTTTCATCTCTGTTAACCCTCCAAGATAGATTCTATCTGTGTATAAACCATTTTTTAGCTTTTTCTATTAGCACGTTGCCGCATATGATGGCAAAATGTGTTTCTAAGCATGGTCATCAATTTAAAAATGTGTGGCAACGTGTTAATGGTCTTATAGTTGTCCTTTTGTGATTAATGTGTCACACAGCAAATAAATAAAACTTTAAGCGTCGCTTAAGATTTTCTCACGGTTTAAGAGGATTATCATTATTATCACCATCTCTTTGCCATGGAATCTGAACTGACTAAGTTGCACATAGGAAGAGATTGTCCATCTTTCTCCCGTGGAGTCACTGATGGATTTGAACCTCCAGAGGCACAGCCTTTGGATTAGCAGTGTAACTCCTTATGGACTAGGAACTTCACCAGTAAGATTCAATTCCAATCAATACCTTTCCCTCCTCTCCCCCTTGTACTAAATTACAAAACAAACAGCCTCTTTTATAATTTAAAATATTTATATTTCTTTCTTTTATTTATATAATTATATCTTTTCACCCCTGGTTCATTTATCCTGTGGTCAGAGACAGGTAGAAGAGTTCACCTTTGAATCAGGTGGGAGATAATAATGACAAGCTAAAATTCTTTCAATGATGAACATTACAGCCACTTAACTGTAGTTATTGTTAACTTTTAATAATATATGTGAGACTGTTATTGTTATTGTTGTTGTTGTTGTTGTTGTTGTTGTTATGTGCCGTCAAGTCACCTGCGACACACAGTGACCCTATGTACAATAGCCCTAAACCCTACTCTATCCTGTGCCAATCTTATCTTCTCTGACACACTTACCCCCATTACCTCAGTCACTGAATCAATCCATCCCCCATGAGGGTCTTCCTCTCCTGCGCTGTCCTTCCACCCTCCCAAGCATGATGTCCCTCTCCAAGGACTGATCCCAACTTGCAACGTGCCCAAAGTATGTCAGACGAAGCTTCAGAATCCTTGCCTCCAAGGAGCAGCCTGATTTAACCCTCTTCAGAACGAACCTGTTAGGACTAGCTGCTCTGAAAAGCCATCTTTGCATTTTTTTTCAGAGTCTGGCTCCCTGCTCCTTGCTGTCACCTCCACCACACTCCTCCTCCTCCACCCGCTTTCTCTCCAGAGTCCCTAAACTTAAGCTTTCTTTGTAATCAACTGCACCAGATCACGGGGTGTGCCCAATCATGCTAGACACAGCTGTGGTCATTAGTTCTGAGATCACCACCAAGGACTTAAAGGAGAAGGTTGTGGAGGAAATGGAGAAAGGAAGAGATGCCCCCACCTTCCTAATGGGAACAGGAGGCAGACAATGATGGCATAGAGATAGAAAAGGAAGAAGGTGAGAGGAGGAGGAAAAAGAAGGTGATAGTGAGGAAAAGAAGGCTGATGAAGATGAGGAGGCAGAGACAGCTGTGATCAAATGGGCAGCGGAAAATGATAAAGTGGATAATATTGACAGCAAGACAAAGAGGATGACTTTTGTTATGTGCTGTCCACTTGCTGTGACTCCTAGAAACCCTGTGAATGGCTCTGAACCTTGCCCTATCTTGCATCTTCTTCATCTCCAACACACACATTGTTACAACCATATGAATTTGTTTTATTGAAGGCCTTTCTCTTATGCTGATCCTCTACCTTTCCAAGCATGATATCCTCTCCAAGGACTGACCCCTCCTAAAACCATGCCCAAAGTATGTGAGACAGAGTTTCACTATCCTTGTCTCCAAGAAGTATCCTCCAAGAAGTATTCGCTTTCTCCCAAAACAAACCCGTTTATTCTCTTAGCAGTCCATGGTATATTCAGTAGTCTTCTCCAACATCACAAATAAAAGGTATCTATTCTTCTTCTGTCATCCTTAATCATTGTGCAACTTTCAGGTGAACCGACATTATTACTCTTTAGTATTCTGTAGAGGTCCCTGACAGCAGATTTTCCTAATACAATTCAAATTTTTATTTCTTTCCACTGTTGGTTCCCAGGGTGTTGGTTGTGGATCCAAGCAAGTTGAAATCATTGACAATTTCAGTCTTTTCTTCATCTGCATAATATTACCTATTAGCCTGGTGATATGGATTTTTATTTTCTTGAGGTGTAAACCACATTGACGGCTGAAGTTTTCTTCTGTAGCATTTCAAGTCCTCTTCACTTTCAGCAAGTAAGGTCATGTAATCTACATAATGCAGGTTGTTGTTAAGATTTTCTTTGCACCTAATGTCACATTTTAAAGCCCAGCTCCTCAAATGATATGTTCAGCATACAGACTGAATAGATACAGAGAAAGTATACAAGCCTGATGCACACCTTAATTTTTTTTCTGATGCACACCTTTCTTGATTTTAAACCATGCAGTGTTCCCTTGCTCTGTTTGGACAATCGCCTTTTGATCTAGGTATAGGTTTCTCATGAGCACAATCAAGTGTTCTGTGATCCCATTCTACTCAATGTTAGCCATCTGTTATAATCCACACAGTCAAATATATTTGCATAGTCCATAAAGTACAAATAGACATTCCTCTTGTATTCTCTGCTTTCAGTCAGGATCCTACTGACATCAGCAGTGATATCCCCGGTGCTCTAGTTTCTTCTAAATCCAGCGTGAACTTCTGGCAATTCTGTATTGATGTACTGTTGTAAAAAGAGCAAGGACCACATGAGAAGTGCCATATATGCCCTTCACAGCAGGGAATTGTCCCTGTCCACAGCATGAATAACACAAAACCAAGTCCCATGAAGTAAGATATGTCCTTCACGCTCCCATTCCTCTTTCTATTCATTTAAACACCAATCATACAGCTTTGCTGGGTCCAAAAGTCTGATGTAATATAGCTCACAGACCACAAAGAACTATATTGGAGGAGTTAAAAGGTTATAACACAGGTTAATAACAGAATATAGTCAAGATAGCTCCCAAAATGTGCACTAAGGCACCTCAGCCTTGAGCCTCGTGTCTCTAAGTGTTCCCAAGTTCTCAGTCCTGAAAATATTGGCTTTCCCCCACAATTG